ATTGCTGAGTTCATTAGGGACCTTAAGCAACCACGACGGCGACGGAAACGAGGACGTGGAAAAACAAGAGATCTAATTGGCAGAACAATAGCCCAGCACGTGCATTTTGAAACTTTGTACATTTCTTAGCTGTCCTATGCAAAACAACAACGTGAAATTTCCATTTGGAACTCAACGCTACTTCTATACGTCATGCTGAAGTTGAGCTGTGGCGCCGTATGAGACAGTAAGCTCATGCAGCCATTTTTGAAATTCTGACTAAGAGTAGAAATTCATATTTTAATCGAAGTCTTCCTTGGCGTTGCCGTCCTGACTGCTTAAGGTCCCTAATATCTCTTAAGCAAAGGTTGAAGTCCACAACAGACAATCATCCAATCGTGAACCATCGAAGAGAAGAAAAAACAATCGTACAGAGTAATTTTTTCCGCTGAGATGAATACAATTGTCTACATCTGTTGATTCCCTCTGTGCAATTTACATAAAAGTTTTCACCTTTCTTCAACGTTTTTGTGGGATTATGTACATCGTACTCTTAAAAGTTTTCGACAGATTCGAGGAATTCATTACATGATTCAACATTTCCAGAACTATCTAAATATTTAAAGGAAATTTAAATTTAAGCATTTTACTTTCATGGTTCAACTAGCTTACGTTTACATAAAACTAACAAAGGGTGAAATATCATACGCAATGTAAGATTCTGAGTTAGAAGATAACGAGACTTAACTTAGGTAAGGTTATCAAAGCATTGCAGCAGTACAGAGCAGGAAACATCGAAAGCGGAAGTTGAAACCGAACTTAATCACTTGTTTTCTTTCAAAGTGGTAAAACATTAGGGTCACAAAGGCTTCTTGATCTTTTTCGATATATGCAAATACGTCTTCACAACATTGCTTAGGTTTGAGGGGAGATGGTATTTTAGACTCCACTGCGGGTCTATCCGCACTGAGAGCTCGTGTGGTGAGGAAGCGGGCAAACATAAGTAACATGGGTGAGAACAAGCATGCTTGTCTCTCCAAAGGTTTAATTTGAATGGTTCCCTGAGGAAGTCATAATAAAACGCTGCCACATTTCATAAGATTACGCAAAACAACGTCGTGTCATAATTATGAAAAGAAAATGAACACGCCGGTACCTTCGGGAAATCTTTCCACGAGGACAGAATCGGGGATTTAGACACAAACCTAAACAAAATTTCTTCCTAGACCAAATGCCTAAGCGAAATGCTTCTAGTTCTTGACTAAAATGAAGGTAAGTCGGGAACCTGTTCATTTTGTAGACATTCAAAATGTAGTGCAAAATAGATCGATATATATTTAATCATTTTTCTTCTAATAAACATATTTACTATGTTCTTTTAGTCGTACTGGAATTCAACTCCATTCACTCCACAAACGATCTTGAAAAACAACAAAAAAAAGCCATTGATGGAAAACTTTTCCAAGGGGTTGTCTGTAGCAGTTGCGACCTCCATTACAGTAGCCAGTACAGTAGCCCTTTTCCTCATTACCACCTACCGTATTCCAAAAGCCATCGAACTGTGCAAGGACTGCCTAATTCTCCTCAAAAGCAAAACTTTGGTAAAAGAAGACCTTTTTGTTAAGGCTCTTTACTCAATGGTTTATAGTTCAACGTATGTCGCATACTATTGTATCCACGATTATACTAAAGCGATACATTATGGGAGGAAACTTCTGGCCATATCACGTGAAACTAATCACAGAAATCTCGAAATATGTTTAAGTCTCGAACTGGCAAGTATCTACTTTAAACAGTGCAAACAATATACGAAAGCAGAAGAGCTTTACAAGAGAGTCATTGATATCGCAGAAGAATCTGGTGATAGAAAGGGACAAGCTGATGGTTACGGATACTTGGGAGCAATGTTCTATTCGAAATCTGAGTATGAAAAGGCTAGAAATTACCATGAGTTGGCCCTTAAGTTAAGGGAAAAAATTGAAGACTGGGAAGGAGAAGCGGAGTCCTTGACAAGCCTTGGGAGTTTGTTTATGGATGTTAAAGAGCTTGCCAAAGCTAAACACTGTTTAGATAAAGCTCTTTGGATAGCTCAAGAAAGAGGCGACAGAAGGAGAGAAGCATACTATCTAGGGAGTCTTGGAGAGTTCTTCATGAATATGTCTGATAAAGTCCAGGCACAAGAGTACCTTGAGAAGGCACTTACTATCGCAACTGAAACTGAAGAAACAAAACTTCAAGTGTTTTACTCACGACATTTGGCAGAGTTATGCATTCCTCTTCGGGAATATGCAAAGGCCGAAAATTATCTTTGCAATGCGCTTAAAATTGCTCTGGAAACTTGTGATAGAGATGAGGAATTTTCATGTTATGAAGTGTTCGGAAATTTGTTTTATGCTCGTTGTGAATTTGCTGAAGCGAGGAAATACTTTGAAAGAGCAGTTTCCTTTAAAACAGAAATTGTCGACAAAAAAGGAGAATCCGTTTCGTGCATCAACTTAGGGAAAGTTTATTCATCCCTTGGCGACCCCGTCAAAGCCAAAGAGTATTTTGAAAGAGCACTCACGGCAATTAAAGGAACTGGTGACCAACACTTAGAGGCATTTTGTTATCAATCACTGGGACAAGTGGCTGAAATTACAAGTGAGTTTGGCAAGGCTATAGATTGTCTTGAAAAGGCGCTCGAAATCAATGTAAACATTGGGAATAGGAAAGGAGAGGCTTCTTGTTACGGAAATTTAGGGGCCATGTTTAAATGTGTTTGTAAGTACGACACGGCTGAGGAGTACCTTCAGAAAGCTCTTTCTCTCCAAAATGAAATAGGAGGAGATGACGAAAACATGGCCGCGTCCTATGGAAACCTCGGAATTCTGTTTCAATCTCGGGGAGAACATGACAAGGCGAAACAATATCTCGAGAAAGCACTGTCTATCACCAAAGAAGTTGGCAACAAAAGAGGAGAAGCTCAGAGTTACTGTAACCTAGGAACCGTGTTTCAATCTCTCGGAAAGATTAACTTCGCAATTGAATGTCATAGGAAAGCCCTTGCGATTAGATTGGAAATAAGTGACAAACGGGGGAAAGCGCTGTCGTATGGAAAATTAGGAAGTGTCTATCGATTTCTTTATGAAAACGACAAATGCAAAAGCTACTTGGAAGAAGCACTGACAATCATGAACGAGATTGGAGACAAACATGGAGAGGGTACAATATATCAATTCCTTGGAGAATTATTTGAATTATTTGGAGAGTATGAAAAGGCTTCAAACTACTATAGAAAAGCTCTTACGATCGCTATTGAAATTGGAAACCGAAGAGGAGAGGCCGATTGTTACTTACACTTATTCGGTGTGTTCAAATCTCTCGGTAAATATGCCGAGGCAAAAGAACATTCGCTGAAAGCCTTGACAATAGCAGATGAAATTGACCACAGAGACGGGCAAGCCTCAAGTTATGAATGCCTTGGCCATGTCTTTCAGAGCTTTGGTGAAAATGCAAAGGCTCAAGAATACTGCGAAAAGTCACTCAAGATAAATAGAGAACTTGGGAACAAACAAGGGGAGGCAGACAATTATGGAGATCTGGGAACCGTGTTCGTTTCCATTAGCAAGGTCTTTAAAGCCCAAGAATATTTGAGAAAAGCTCTTGAAATTAGACGGGAAATTGGTGACAGGTGCGGAGAAGCGGCAGATAACGCCAATCTAGGAATTGCGTATCACCACCTGGGTAAGAACGTCGAAGCTAAAGTGTATCTCAAAGAGGCTCTTCGGATCAGAACCGAAATCAACGACAGAAAAGGAGAAGCTTCGAGTTACAGGGCGTTAGCAACATTCTTTCTGGATGTCGGCGAATATGCTAAGGGCAAGTGGCACCTTGAGAAGGCAGTTGCGATTTGCATAGAAATTGGCGACAGAGACGGACAAGCCTTAAACCATATACAGCTGGGGTGTTTCTTCAGCGCAATTGGAGAATACTCAAAAGCTGAAGAGCATTGTTTCAAAGGCCTAATGATAAAAAAAGAAATTGGGGACAAGCACGGGGAGGCCATAGCCATGCACAATCTTGGTGATGATTTAGTATCTGTTGGCAGATACACGGAGGGAGATAGATATCTTCAGAATTCACTGGCCATTGCAAGATCTAGAGAAGTTGGTGACAAAAACAGTGAAGGTACGTCTTATTTCAGTTTAGGATCCCTGTTTAAAAGTCTCGGTGAGAATGCTAAAGCTACGCAGTATTACGAGAAAGCAATGGTGACGAGAATACAGATTGGTGAGAGAAACGGAGAAGGCGCGTGTTATAGAGAGCTGGCAAGTATTGCTCTAGCTGCTGGAGAGAAATGCAAAGCGGAAGAATATCTTGCGAAGGCACTCTCCATTATGGAGGAGACGGACAATAAAGACGGGAAGGCAGCAGTGTACGAGAGCCTTGGACGGATGTTCCTTATTCTTGGCGAATGGTTTGAGGCTAAAGAAAATTTCGAGAAATCACTCTCGATCAGACAAGAAATCGGTGACAGGGGAGGAGAAGCAATGAACTTCCTTCAACTAAGTCAGGTGTTTGCCCTCTTTGGGGAAACTGCTAGGGCTGAAAACTTGATTAAGAAAGGTCTTCTCATAAGTAAGGATATTGGCGCTGGTAATATTGAGTGGAGATGCCTTTGCAGCCTTGCATATTTCAAGTTGAAAGACGACTCCAAACAAGCACTATCGTGTTTTTATGAAGCTGTTGAAAAATGCGAAGAGTTACGGGGTCTTGTTGGAGGGTGTGATCAGTTCAAAGTATCCTTTTCAGATGAACACTCTTTTCCGTATCAGTTTCTTAGCGAATTGCTTTCTCATGCGGGTAATCCTATCGAAGCCCTCCACGTTGCTGAGTTGGGAAGAGCTAGAGCTCTAGCAGACTTGATGTCAAGCAAGTATTCAATGGAAAATCGAATGCCAGCTAATCTTCAATCGTGGAATATTACTCAAGGGGTAATGGAGAAAGAAGATTACTCTACGTGCTTATACGTTTCTTACTTTGGCCAAGATGTGTCCTTGTGGATTCTCAAACGAGGCGGAGCCATTCACTTCAGAAGGTTGTTAGTGAATGAGGACAGTGCTACTAAAGGGTTTGTTGCACATCTGGATGATTTCTTTGTGAAAAACTTCAGAAACCTTAGAGTCACTCTCCAGGAACATTGCGAAGATCGATCTTTGAGTGACCTTCAACCTAGCCCAATATCGCCTGCAGAAGAAGGGCTTGGAATGTTTAGCATTTTTGAAGAGGAAGAAGAGGAGGAAGAGGACAGTCAAGATCCAGAAGTGGATAAATTGTTTTACAAAATGATTATTGCTCCGGTGGTTCACTTTTTAGAAGACCCAGAGATTCTTATTGTTCCACACCGTTCCTTGTACAGGGTTCCATTTGCAGCGCTACGAGATGAAAATGGGAAGTACCTGGCAGAAAAATTTAGAATCCGTATCGTTCCTTCCTTGCTGACTCTCAAACTCATACAGGACAGTCCACCTGACTACCACTACCAGACTGGGGCATTGATAGTGGGTGACCCTGTGGTTGGTCATGTATTATACAAGGGAAACACTCAGTACTTGTCACGACTTCCAGCGGCAAGAAGGGAGGCAGAGATGATTGGGCAGCTGATAGGTGTCACACCATTAATTGGAAAAAGCGCAACTAAGCAGGCGGTGCTTGAAAGGCTAAATTCAGTTGGGCTGATTCATTTGGCGGCACATGGAAATGCAGAAACAGGTGAAGTTGCTTTGTCCCCGGTACACCCCGACAACCGCATTCTTCAAGAAGAAGAATACTTACTTACAATGTCTGAGATTTCAAAAGTTCAACTTCGAGCTAAGCTGTTGGTGCTTAGCTGTTGTCACAGTGCAAATGGACAAATTCGAGCCGAGGGCGTTGTTGGCATAGCTCGAGCGTTCTTAGGATCCGGTGCACGATCAGTGTTGGTGGCTCTGTGGGCCATAGAAGACCGGGCGACGGAACAGTTTATGAGATGCTTTTACGAGCACCTGGTCCGTGGGGAAAGTGCCAGTAAGTCTCTTCACGAAACTATGAAGTGGATGAGGAGTCATGGCTACTCTGACATAGGACAGTGGGCGCCCTTCATGCTGATTGGCGATGACGTCACATTTGCATTCTCAAAAATGGTAAGTTTGAGTTGTAAGTGATATGAATGTCCTTTGTAGAGTAATCAGGGTCTACATATTTCCCATTTCTTGACTTTGGAGATAGAGTTTTGGAGGTATTGCCAATGAAAAAGTCAAAATTCAGAAAGGGCATATTCTTTTTTTTAACAGACCCTTACAAAAGGTAAAACTAATTTCTTTTCCTACGTTGAAGCTTTGGAGTCTAATAAATATAGCTTGAGCATTCTCAAATGCGTTTCTTTAACCACAGTTCAAATATATGATTTTCATATATTCTTAGCATTTGACTCATCATCTCACAGGTTTATTGCAAATCACCATCATGAGCAGCTCACAGTTGGCTTGTTAGCTCAGTTGGTAGAGCACTGCACCAGCATTGCAGAAGTCATGGGTTTGAATCCTGTACAGGCCTAAATTTTTTTCAGGTCTTAATTTCACTATTGCTTAAATCGTGCTCCTCACAGCAAATATCGTTCTCATATGCGTGAAAAAATGGATTGTCTATAATTAAGGATATCAGTGTGCAGCAAGTTCTGTGGCAGTCATAAACAGAAGTGATTTATTTTTTAAACGTATCATTAGAGGGTTCGTGACAACCAATATTGTTGTAAATTCAACTTCCTCTTACTATCTGCAGAGTTCCAAGACAAAGACGTGATCAATGGTCCATCCACTCGCATCAGAGGAAAAGTCTTTTATGACATGGCTCAGAAACATAGATCAAACTTTTATTGAATAAGAAGTAGGAATTAATCAGTTAACTCGTGAATGTCAACCTTAAATTAATGATTTCGAACTGAGGCTTCCAATCAGTCAGCCTAATTACACATTGAAATATTGGAAGTAAAATTTTCCTTTGCTTCGCTAGTGGTAATTCAAAGTGGCGACAATATTTAGTTAGAATAATCTTCATGGCAATAGAGATCACAGTCAGTCTATGTAATAAGTACTGAAGCATTTGAAGCCAGAACAACACAAAATGATTTTTTTTGGCTCTCATCAAAATTTTAAGGGTACACCAGGGGTTTTCTGCTCCTCTCTCTTTCACAATAAAAGAAAGAAAAATTAAAAACTACTCAACAATCATTTTTAACCCAAGCTGTGCACATGCCACTGCCAAATCTTAGTCCTATCTTAGAAGCTTAATTACAAAGTTTGGACATCAGATTTTATCAACTAGGACCAAAACCACTAAAGAACATCCTGTACACTAATAGCAAGAACATGTTTACCAGGAACCAAAAATTTTTCAAGTGGGTAACTTCATTGGTTATAAAGTAACTGCCAGTATCTGTTTTTTCACCTCACAAAAACAAATGAGAAGAATACTGTTTAATTTATGTCAGCATGCCATGCAGAGCTCTAGGAGTGAAGCCCCTCACTCCTACAGTTTCACATGGCACACTTACAAGAATCATTTTCCACTGATTTACTCTCACTCATGCAATAGACATCACCGAAAAAGAGGGACTGCTTTTAATCTACCACAATACAATGAAGACCCCCAAAAATTCCTACAATCCTGGTTTTTTTTCAATTAATTTGAGGTAGCAAACTATTGTTAGTAGCATGTTACTTGTGGGATTCTTTTATTGTGGAAATTAATTTTCCCATTCATGATAATCTGTAAAAATTACTATCAGCAAAAGTTCCATGCTACATGAACTGTGACAATCAATTGGAACTGAGTCGGAGGGCCCAGAATGATATGTTTTAAGTAAGGATAAACACTGTCTGCATCTCAGCCTCATTATCTTGATTTAGATGTTAGCCTAATACCATACTTTATGACTAAAAAACATTTTACCCTCTAGCAAGCTTGATTGAAAACATATTTTTTGTATGTCATTATACCTGTTTCTATTCAGGGTGACTTTTGAACTCTTTCACAAGATATTTGAACCAGTATCTACCAGTAATTAATACAAATTATCACTGACCATGACTCCAAAAATGACAGTAGTATCAAAAATGTATTTAATTAAGTTAGCCACAGTGGAAGAATTGATACTTAAATTCACAGAATGAAGGGGTTCAAAAGACTTGAAAAGTTAACCCTTGACTCCAAGAGTGACTTAAGCCTAATTTCTCCACACAATATCACCCCTGAAATTCTCGAGTGTTACACAAATTCTCCTTGGCAACACCTTCAGAAATGTATAGAGAACAGTGTGGAGAATATGCATATTGATGTCACGAAGAACAAGATTAAAAATGTTGCAATCAACAAATATTAAAACTTACTCTGAGTTGTCTATATTTGGCTCTTTATCATCCAAACTTTCTTGTTCCTCTTCAATCTCTTCTTCCTCTTCAGCCAGTTCCCATTTACTGAGGTACTTATCGTTAGCATAGTGACTGATCAATTCTCGCCTGTCGTCATCATCACAGTCACTCTCCTGGTCCCCAACAGATAGACCATCTACAATCTGTACTTGCATGTTAGTCAGCTGGCTCATTGTAGTGTACAGTCACACCCATGCTAATTGAGTTGGGTCACATCATTTGATATCTCCAGTGTTCTATCTATATGAATCAAGGATCCAGTTAAAGTACTAACATTCACATGGACTTTCTTCTCTCTAACTTATAATGGCTGATTTCATTTTGTTCAAATTCTAAAAATTGTGTCAGTTATTAGGCTGTGATAGTTCTAGTTTTTCTGCCAACAGAGACTAGCTCTGAGTTTTCTATGAGCACACCCTTGGAATAGCATGGGAACATGCAGTTATATATGTGATATGAATCATGTCATCTCAAAAAAAAGAAAAACCAACAACAAAATAAGATGCTGACATTATCTTATCAAAACCAAAAAATTACAACTTTTGTGGTTACTGTGAAGTTTTACAAGATAAAAATTCAGTGTAACGCTTGCCCAACACGACAAGGTCAAGCATAAAAAGTGGCATATCGTGATGTTGGGCAAAAATTGTAAAACAAATGCCTAAATTTACTTTTAATAACAGATATACACAAACCTATGGCAACTGTCTCGTTAACAAGAACGGTCTTCCTGTGTATATTCAATAATTCGTCGTATCTTGGGGGCATAAATTTGTGAGAAAATCTTTTCATGAAGATTTAAAACTAGCATCACTGAAAAATTTAAATCAACATGCTATTGAGGTTTCGAGAGGTTTGACACAGGCATGCTTTGAAAGATGAGATAATGACTCCTCGATCGCTAAGTAAATGAGACCTAAACGGCACTTTATATTTGATAAAGTATGCACAAAATTTCAAGATCTGTCGCATAACTTTTTACAATACAATTGAATGCAAGTGAAATAAAGTATTTTAACTAAGAAAGTTTGTGTTAAGGAAAATCATTCTCAAGAAGCACGAGAAAGGTGATTGTGAATTATTGTAAACAAATTTCTCGTCTGCCGTCACACTTTCACTACAATAACATTTAATAACACATTAACTGAAAATAAAATCAAAATCGTACACTGAACAAAATTCTATGCATCACAACTAAACCATTTAAGGCTTTCAAGCAGGGCACATGAAACGGTTGCAAATCTTTTCGAAAACCAACCGTGGTTGATTTGATAAGAGATAACTTCGAAAAGAAGACGGAGAAATTGAAATCAAAACGATCAGGCATCAATAATTAAACAGAAATCTACTCACCTGGTTTATTTTGACTCTTTAGCTGTTCAGTTCTACTTTTTTCCAAAGAGTCGACCGAAATCCCGTCAAATTCGCTTGCAGTAGCAATCAACGGGCAATTACGATACTAATGTTTTGAGTTAGAAAAGGACCTCACGTTAATGTTCGATGTCAACTAATTGCCTCGTTTACTTCGCAACGAAATTATGCATGAAAAGAACAAAGCTGAGATTCATCAATATTCATGTATCAATTAGACAGTTCCTTATTAACTGTTTTACAGATCTACTCATAAAAGACGTATTCAATATTGTATTCAATTAAAGTGATTTGAAGACAAAAGCTCTTCGGAGAGAAATTAACACGTCGCTTGGGCGCTATGTTGTTCGCATACTTTCTCAGGTCTCCAAAAATGTAGATCTTGTAACGTAAAAGTAATTAAATTGGAACCTAGGCTCATGTCACTTCGGTAAACTAAACAAAGAAAAAATATATGACATTGCGTAGTTACTCACCACTTCCAGTTTTCAAGAGCGCAAGAAATGGCGTCGTTTACATTAGGGCAAATATTTTAGGAGGGGTGGGTCAGGATATTGGGGAGAGGCGAGGGGGACTGTTTTGTAATCGGGAAACAAGGAAGCCGGTATTATGATGGCAATCAGGTTCCGAATTAAAGCGGTAATTTCGTCTTGATCTCTCTTGAATAAAAGCGAAATTGTCAAGTGCTTTAATCTTAGCACAAGACAAAATAACCTGATAGAAGTAAAGCAAACACTGCAACCATTTGCAAACCCAACTTGGATTAGCTAACCCTCAAACATACTAACATCAGTATGCATATTCTCCATACCGTCCTCTATACATCTAGTTAGGTGCTGACAACGAACATTTGTTTAATCAATAATCAGAGCTTTATTAGTTGGCAATCAGATCCTTTATCCTCTCAACTAAGTATACGATTCAAGGGATGATATTGTAAGGAGAAGTTAACTGTTTCAAACAAAAAGAAAAAGAGGATGAAGGGAACAAACAACTGCTTCTATTAAAGGGGAGGGAAGAAGAGTAAAATCACATAAATTAAATCAATAATTCACTGAACTGCAAAACTGGGAGAAAATTTTTATTCTGGTATATAGATACACATGAATTTATCTACATTACACATACAATCAGTCAAACCTTCCCATATACCAAAAAGAGGATGTAGCATACAAATTCATCCAAAGTTAGACAGAAAAAAAAATATCACTTCAATTTTACAATTTAAGCCATGTGGATTCTTCTTTATGACAATATCTAGTCATATCCATCAAAGAATCTTTCCATAAACTCTGATTTCCTTGGTTCTTGTGTTTCCTTGAAATAACGCATAACATGTGTTGCCTGCTTCCACAACTTGTGAGTTTCTTCAAGTTCCATTTTACCCTTCAAGAATTAAACGTGGATATGGTTATTCATTGACATAAAATGCGAAGAGCTGTTTATCACTTAAAAACTCACCATATCACTTGGATTACCGTAAAAGCCTGGAGATAAGCCGCACCTTGAGTTTATTTAGCAGCTCAAATTTTGGAAAAAAAAGTTTTTTGAAAGAAATCAAAAGAAATCCAAAGTCAAGTCTTGAGAAGTCTTCTTCATCCACTGTTCATCGAATGTAAACTCAATATTAACATTGCAATGGAAATTACTTCAAAGTCTTACCCACAATTTTAGCACTTTAATATAATGAATATCGTTTCTACCAACTTTGGCATATGATTAGTCTTTTTCTGGTATTTGTTGACAGGAATTTCTTCATTCAATACAGTTTTTCCATAGATTTTTGCATTACAACAAGAATATGAGCACAATGTAGTGCAACATTCAAAGCTTAGTAACCAGGCATTAGATTGGATGCAAAAATGGAAATTGGTGTTGACATTCATGACACCTTTTTCAATTGTTCCCGCAGATAAGCTGCACCCCCAATTTCTAGCGACGATTTTTGAGAAAAAAGTGCAGCTTATACGCAGGCTTTTACGGTAAGTGTCCAGCCTTTTTGTTCTTGTAACATAGATAACATGCATTTTTGAAGATAATCCATGTATAGCAAGTGCATTTTTAAAATAATTTTTAATATTGCATTTGTTCTATTTTTTGTCATTCGTGAAAGCAAATTGAAAGTACGCTGTCTGTAAATATGTAGACATAAAAGTTTAAAGAACAGCTGGAGTTTCTGTTTGCTGTCAGATCAAGAAATCTTTCAAATTTTTACATAAAATAAAGAAAAAATAAAGTAAAGAGATTTACACTAAATGTAATAATATGAAATACATTCAAAATTTTGTTTGTAATAGTAAAATGTTTGAGTTGAAATTATTAACAAGCATAGAAACAAGCATACAAGGGTACACATTTGAAATCTGCAACTATAAATTGGCTGAATTTCAAACAATCCATTCACTATTTTACAATGACTGTAGAAATTCTTGCTAGCTCATTGGACATGAACTAATTTCAATAAGGTTGTGGATGATAAAAAGGACCTATCATGTAACCCAATGTTCAGAAATCCTCACCATTTGAAATAAAAATTGAGCTCATAATTTTCAGAACAGTATACTTGGAGAAAGTTTTGAAGAACTTGTTGAGATGGAAGAAAAAGCAAAGGGAAATCTTCAGAAATAGAAATCAGTTCTTAGTTAGCAAAGTTGAAAGATGGACAACGTCCTAGAGATACTTGCCAATGCCAAAGCAAACAGTACAAAAACTGAAATTAAGTGAGCAATAAAATATGATTCAGGGTAACAGTCTATTGCCAACCATTTCTTACTAGTATAGTAGAAGTTTTTACATGACACAAATGAAACCAACAACAAAGCAATGGTTGATCATGTCACACATGCATAATTTTTCAAAAAACTTTGGTGCATTCAGCATGCATAAAAATTTTAATGTTATTGTAAAAAAACAAATCAAACACAATAGTCCACTGTCTATAACCTTATTAGTCAGAAAAATTAGGTCACTCGGCTATACCTCCTGGTTTCACTTTAGTTTTGAATATTGTTGACATCATTTCTATAATAAATAAGGTTATAGATGATGGAAAACTGTGGTCAATTTGTTAAATAGATTATAAAGGAGTACATGTCATGTACTAAGACTATTGATATGGTTTTGCCACATATGTTATCAAAATTTCAGTTAACCGTTAGATATGAAATACATTGATACAAAGGCAACAAGACCTTCACAACCCTTACCTTGATCACCAGCATGTCTATCACTCTGATATCACGAACGTGAGCATTCTTCATAAATTCTTCGCGCACCTTAGCACGGCCAGTCTTGGTAGAGATTTCTAACTGGAAGGCCTCGATGGAATGTGGAACCTGTCAATGTTAAAAAGAAACATAACTAAAACATAACAATAACCCCAACCACAACATAGGTGTGCATTAGTAGGACAATGTTTTGGATGTTCAAAGGTTTTTTCACTCATAACTTTGAGTTCTGAAAATCGAATCTTAAGAGAACTCATAGCTTCTCTAGCAAAGTGATACAAAAAACAAAAGTGCAAAGCTGTCGATGATGTTCTAAATGTAAGATTGCAAACTACAAACGACTTAATCGACAATTCCAGCTTTCAGTTAATCCAATATCCACGTAACTTTCAGAAGCTACATTTCGATATGTAAAACAATCCAAAAAAACCCCAAAAGAGTACAAAAATCACTAGCTTTGTGGAAACATAGATATGTGCTTGGCAAATTCATACATATATTACCCAGAACATATACCGATGTGAAAACTTTCTACCAAATACCAACATGTAACCAGCCTTGAACATATTTACTCATGTCAATTTATTCCATACCAAAACTAAAAGAAATACAATAGGACTTAAACCTGTGCAGCGATAAGGTAATATAAAAAATTCCTGTCTGTATCTGATCCATATTACCCGATCCCGAATACCCTTCACCTACATATATGTGTACGCGAAAATACCTGCGTCGATCAGCTATAATTTCACTCATATTCAATTTTCATGGAGTGAATCCACATTTCATATATATGGGAGTGATAGTGTAAAAATTTCTGCCATAATGATTCTAGTCCATCCATTTGGAAAACAATCTGGTGCATATTGACCGCGTATTACGGTATATTTAAAACTCAAATAGTACGCCGAAACGGTCTCCCATCTAGCGCGTAAACCGACTTTTATGCTATAAAATACGTCTTATGACCATATCAAAAAGCAGATTAGTACCTCTCTCCACCAGGCTCTATACAAATTAAGCACTCTTCGTCTAGCCTCAGCATGGCTCGTCGAAAGAAGCGGTTTAAATACAGTCTTACCCGCAGTCTGAGCAACTTGTTTCGCGGCCATCTTGAAAGCATACACCATTGATTTATGGGAACTTATCCGTACCAGTGCATTCTCGTTCCAAGTTCACTTGTTTGGGACTCGAGAAGGATAGCTAGGGACCTTTCATGTGAACACACTTCGATTTTCATGCTATTTGGGATTCATGAATACGTTTTGGAGTATTGATATCAATAAGAATGGGTTGATTTTAATTCAATTTTAATAGTCGCGACCGTCGACAGAGCGAGAGCCTGAATTTCAATGATGGAGGCGGTATTAGGCCTTTATAGATTATGCTAGTAAAAGTAGCACATTATGCTAGTAGCATTGCTTTTTTGGCGAAATTATGCTAAAATTATGCTCTTTTTTCCAAATTATGCCCCTTGCTTTTTCTAAACATTGCAAATAAGTCCAAAAATACACTTTTTGATTAGAAGCCGTTGGTCTACATGAAAGTAACGCAACAAATCCACAATGAAGTTCAAATAAACATATGGTTCATGTTAACATTCCCATTGTACTAGACTATACATGGCCTACAGTTTGGACAGCGGCGCCAACATGGCTTCCACGAGGATTTTAGCTCCTCTTCTTCTAACAACAACAAACATATGAAACATATGTGTGAACTGCGGTTATGAGACGTATATGAGAACGATCCTTCGCAGTAAAGCACTATTTGAGCAATAGTGAAAATCAGACCTGAAAAAAATTTCAGGCCTGTACGGGACTCGAACCACTGACCTCTGCGATACTAGTGCAGCGCTCTACCAATTGAGCTAACAAGCCAACTGGGAGCAGGCCATCAAATTAATTCGATATAAACCCGTAGATGATAAATCAAACAACAACAAACATATGAAACATATGTGTGAACTGCGGTTATGAGACGTATATGAGAACGATCCTTCGCAGTAAAGCACTATTTGAGCAATAGTGAAAATCAGACCTGAAAAAAATTTCAGGCCTGTACGGGA